CCTGACAAACACTTAAAAGACAACAGTGAACAATTCTGAAAGGAAAAACCTGGCACAATATGGAGAGTTATTGCTGAGGCTTTTTTGTTTATTTCTCTAAGTTTCTCAGTCCTAAGCAGAAATATTCATTTATTGAAAATTATATAGTTTCATACAACTACATTATCATTTAAAACAAATGTGTCTATACAACAAATAAGGAGTATAGTGTTACCATATAATCTACATTTTGCAGATCAATATTTACTGCAGCAGCTAAAGAGTTCCAGCCAAAAATATTTAGGGACAGTCAAATACTTTTCTAAGTCAAAGGTTACAGCAAACTGTAATTTTAATTCAGTATGCATGAAATCATTAAATCTGCTGTGGTGATTAAACAGTATTAAGTATTATTTGTATAAAAATTCCCCCACACTTTCTTTTAAAACAGTTTATGGGACAACACTGATTAAGCTGGCAAGGTTATCATTATTAAAAACAGCATCATGCAATGTTACAAATTCTAATCACGACTCAGTACATTTCTTCTACCTGAGACCTGCAACGAAAATATAATTTAACACGGCATTCCTGAAACAAACAAACCGCGGTGACATGACCTTTTCGTAAGCTCCCCTCTGGTGCTTTATGTTTACATAGATTTGTAGGATTAGATTTTGTGGTTTCTGCGGTGTCTCTGAAAATCTTGGAGTTTCACTTCATGCAAATGGCATGGAAACAAGTCCCCATCAGTAGGCAGTGTTTTGAGGAGTATTTGTGTCTCTCTGTTGCATTATAAACGTATACATAAACATAAGAAAAAGTGAGTGGGAAAAGTGACAGGCAGTGAGGTGAAGTGAGTGATTCATTACCGAGGAAAACGCTGTTTATACGTTTTACATCATAAATGAAATATATATGATGACAGCTTGTGGTGGACAGTGTTTTATAAAATGGCATAAAAGCCTTAAATGTCTTAAAAAGTGGCAATAAGCACTGCATCAGGCAAACTGTTATCATGAGGTATAGCAGCAGAGATAAAGAGATTAAGATAAAACCACATTGTTCCCTGAAGAGGGAGGAATGTCACTGATGTTACACATCATTAGAGCTGCAAAGTAGCTGACTTCATATGGTGTGCTGAAAAAAAAGGGGGGGATGGAACGTGAATGTGCTCATAAGTCATAAGACATTAGTGTTTAACTGAAGCAAAACTGCTAGTGTTTTGTTACTTTTTGATTACTACATTTTTTTAAAAAAAGCCTTTTATGTAATGAACGATAACATTATAAATCTTGCGCAACGCTTTGTCTCCAGACGATCAAATAGCACTAAAAATGCATGCACCATTGCATTGTTGCAGCTTTGTACCAATGTTTGGACCCACAAAGCCGCATCAATCTAAAATCGGTCTGGCACATCTGCCAAAGCCAGCGACAGAAGAGCAATTTACAATGATTTTTGTTTTCACACTTCCTAAGTGGCCAATTCTGCATCCCAGAGCTCCGTAATGTTGATATCACATTCGGAAGTGAAAGAGTGATTCTGGGAAGAGGTCAAAACAAAACCAGACATCAGGCATTGGATGACAAAGCGTGACTGTGAGTCTGATAATGGACTTAGTGTAAGAGCTGGGAGGTATCCTTAGCAGTCCGTCACATTAAAAAAGAAACGCTTTAAAAATCAATAACTGTCAAATTAGTAATGCTCTTACAGACAATTTATGACCTTTTTATTTAAATGTGAAATGTTCTGGGAAATATCAGATATCTTAATTACAACTGCCTGGTGTATTTTTGTAGATTTGTGCAAAAGCTGGAGTATATGATGTGTCTGTGATGTTGTGGTTGTTTCATATCTATGAGAAGCTGCACAGTAAAATAATGGAAATAATTTAGAAAAACTGAGAATCTCATGTTGCATTTCACTGAATCTAAAACACCTTTTGGTCATTTATACTGCTGCAATAAAACTCTGTTTCTTTTCAGTACAGATGCAATTGACATCCTTGATAGAAATGAATGGAGGAGACCATCCCTCCTCTGTTTTTTATTGAACTCTCTACTTTGTGCTGGAAAATAGTCGTGGAAATTTCAAGCAGTTGCACCTAATCTAAAAAAAGAAACAAATATAATAAACCAGATTAGAAAGCCAGTGACAGTTTCATATTTCTACACACCTTATTACACGCTACAAACATTATTTGTGAATGATGCACTGGCGTTGTCATGGCAACAGCTGTTCCCTCCAAACCACATGGCTGCTTCTCTGCACCTGATTCTACTGGCTGATTCATTTTGCAGTTCAAAAAAAAATATCTTCTATTGTTTCAGACCTGCTATTTCACACCTGCCCACAAGGTGTCCCCACTTTCTTCTTGCCTCAGCGTGTCTCCTGATGCATCACCTCCACCCTTGCCTGTTTTTCTAATGCTAATCAGCCTGAATAGATAAATATATCTGAATTAATAAATCCCTTCTGCACAGAGGTCCACTTTGACACACAAATTTGTGCGGTTAACCAACACAGAGAGCTGGAAAATGGGGAAGAAGAGAAGCAGTTGTTGTAGAATATTATTTGTACTGCACTATTTGCTTTTATTTAACCTGGTAAAACCGTCCTGCAAGTTAAGCTAACTGTTAACAAGGTCCTCACTTCCTTTTCCTTAAACAAAATGGTGGTCAATGGTATTTTAAAAGAAGTAAATCAAACAGTCCAGAGAAAATAAGCTTTTGTGACCGACTAAAAGTGCTCCAACTACCAAATAAATGGTTCGATTGCAGTTCATCAGCTACTCATTATGTCACCTTCTGCACCAAGCAAATTGCCAGAAAGTAAGTGCTGTTTTTCATTTTTAGTGTGGTTTCATTTGAATTCTCTTAACCTGATGTTGTAATCTTGCATTTGAAGTCTTGTTTTTAAAGGTTTTTGAGGTCTATGTACTGTATTTGGCACATAGCCAAAGAGCAAACAAAGCATTCTGATTTCAAGAAGGTGATTACTATGGTGCAATCTTTTCCACTGTAGCCTGCATGATTAGTTCAGCTATTTCCAGAGCGGTAAAACCTTCAGTGGTGACAACATGCTGACATAACACGTCACTTTACAGTTTAATCAAGGCTGAATAGACGAAAGAGGCACACGGACGGACACAGAGTGTTCTGTAGTACTTCGTGAAATGTTGCATTTGTTCAGCTTAAGCTCAGATTTTGGGCTAATGATGACCACTGCTGCAATTTATCATATTACTCTAATGAAAATGATTTATAGTGTCACTCCAAAACGGACACTGACACTCACCTTTCTCATATAAAACAGACTGAAAGGATAATGCAAGGAAACGTGTCTAATGGACTAAAAAAAAAAAGCGACATGAGTGGCACGAGGTTGAGATACTGATACTGCAGCCTCTATAATTAAATATGGTTTCGTATTCAGCATACATTTATCTTTGTCATCACAACACTTTAAAGGGCTCGGCAACCCATGAATAGAGATTACTGATATTCTGTCCTTTTGTCACCCTCTTAATTGCATCTTACTAGCTGTTCTCAGAAAGATAACTCAAGTGTGATTGAATTTAACAGAGCTGCTCAATAATATGATGAGGAAATTGGGCTGTGCAGCTCAAGAGAGACACTAGTCAGCACTTGCGGTTGTGTATTTACTTATGATTGTATCTATTCCTTCTTAAATGAGACTGAAGGTCATGCAAATGGTCCTGCTCACACAAAACATTTTTTTCCCCTAGTCTTTATTGGTGCCGTAAATAAATTTGAGTTCAAAAATTAGTTCATACAGGAGATATATCGCTTGGCCTGAGGGTGGCAGCAGAGGAGAGGTCAAGTGTAAGGGATTTTAAAATAGCTTACACTGACTACTTGTATTAACTAAATGTTATTCTTTTCAATTAGATTTATATCATTTATTGATATTTATTCATATTATCACTACTGTTACCTATGTTATTACTGTCTGTTTGACTGCTATCATCAGGGGACGTACTGAAGGGTATGCTAAATATGTAATGTTTGTCTGAGACTTTCTGCCATGGTCACTGGCTAATCATCATATAGCAGCTGACAACGTCTGTGTAGTGCAAATGGATTTCTGCAAATGTATGTTTAGTGCCATCTGGTGACTTCAAGCATTGGAGCTGAAGGATTTCAATCAAGTTCCAGGCGTCTGATAAATGGAATAGAACAGCTTCCATAATATTACTTGAGCAAGTTGGTGGAATAATGAACACGTTGCAAAACATACTTAATTGGGAAGACCCTCTGGGCCTTATAATCTTATGGATAAATATAACACTGTCCTGTACTGTGCTGTGTTACATAATACATTGTTTTTGTAAGTTACATGGAGGAAGGGAGTGTCTCCTCCTCTACTCCACACTCCAGTGGGAGCAGGCTCAGTTGTAAGAATTAGAGAAATAAGAGTCGGATAGCGTGTTGAAATGTGTGACTGATGTTGGGAGGCTCCCACAGGAATCTGTCGCTTGCCATCACCTGCCAGAATAATAACTTACCAGTTGAGCAACACCTGGGAAATTGTTGTTTCGTTCCAAGCAAGACAGAACATGAAATGTTCCATAGGTTTGTTTACGAAATGCATTTAGTGACATGCAACGGTTCCCAAAAAAACAGTGGATGAGTTCACTGAGAAAACTGTAATGCCATCAGTTAAACTAAATCTAATTATGAATGAAATAACTGAAGAATAACAAATGAAATAAACTTTTGAGTAGATAATCTGTTGCTGAAGAACGTTGTTAAGTTAATAAACATATTTTCTTGATATCAACACCACTCGTACAATGTTAAAGTAATGCTGACCTAGAAATTTTACTTAATTAATTCCTGAATGATTCACCTAATTAAAATTACTGATAATGATTACCATTGAGCATCAGCATGGCATATTAGATGGCCAATGTGCTTCTTTTTGAGATATGGCTTCCCATTATGGATGGTGTACTTTTATTTCACGGCGGACACGCCTGTGCTTGTGTTGGAACAAGCACTGTGGAGGTGTGATCACACAAGGGAGACTCTCTCCTCTCTGCAGGACCTGAGAAAAAGAACTCAGCGCTGCTGTCTGGCACAACGAGGGTGTTTAACTCTGAAAGGTGAATATAATTATGCTTTCTTATTGCAAAATTCTAACTTAATCACTCCTGGGTACAAAAAGCTTTGTTTCATTGCTCTCAGAGAAAACAAAAACTCACATTTAAATCCATTTATAGTACGTTAGGATAGTTTTTTTTTTCATGAGTCTTGTGCCTGAGAAAAAGAAAAGCATTTAGCTTTAACTATGTTAACCTCCTATTAGATATACTGCTCTTACCTTTCTGTCGTGTCCCTTTTACAGTCAAGATGCCAGAAACAGCAGAGGCTGTGTCAGCCACTCTCACCACCAACAGAAACTGCACCATTGAAATAACCAATGTCAGCGGTAGTTACTGCCTCATCAACCCCAAGTAAGTCTGTAAACATATTTACTAGTTTAAAACATTTTAAATGAATTCAATGGAAATAATATCTCTGATCAAACCTGAATAAATGAAGATACATGAATAAAATAAAATTACATTTATTTTTTTTGTGCAAAATGCATATTTAAATTGCAGGTCACCAGAAGTTCAAACAATTTTCTTCTTCTTTCTCATATTAAAAAAAAAGCACAATTTCCTTCATAAAAAGTAAAAGTAACTTCAGTGTGGTTTTACTGTACTTAAGCTAATATTGCCAGTGGTATAAGTGTATTACATTAAGTTTTTTATAGCGACCTAATGTAATTCTCACACGTCTGACAAAAAAAGCGAAAATAAATAAAACAAAACAATAGTATAAGTAAAAATTATTTGTGTCTCTTGGGATTTGTGCCACGCTCCTACATTTATCTAGTTGTGGCAGGACAGGCCATATTTTGGATGGGTGGTTTTCATGTGTGACATTACTTTGCTGAGAACATCCACCTATCCATCATGCAGTGACACGCACTGCCTCATTGCACATCGCATGCAGGTACACTCACTGTTGCTTAGAAGTCCACAGTAGTACTTCCAGTCACACTCCATCCATCAGTATAAGATGTTTCACCCTGGAAAGCCCAACACTCAAAAAGTACGCTGACAATCTCCATCAAACTTAGAAAAGTGTGTTTTCTCATCAAAAGTGTGAGAAGTGTGACGTGAAACTGCCAACTCATTAGCAGTGACGGTAAAGATCCTTCTCTTGGTCTCTTGTGCAGGGTTTACGTGTCAAGCGGCTTCTGTCACCATCCACCTCAGCCCACGATTCGTACCACCAAGACGGAAGTGTGCTCCTTCACCAAGGATGGCAACACTGCCACGGGCTCTGTTGGCCTTCTGACCTATGACCTGTTCCATATGCAGAGCCGGGTTTGTTCTGAACGCATGGCCATCATGTTCTCCGTGCCCTTTGACCATAACCTGTACAAGAACCGGCTGGCCGTGGGTTTGGTTGAGACTTCCCGTGCCTGCAACAAACATCTGTACGACCAGCTGTATGATGGGAAAGATCTCAGTAACTTCACCCGCTCCGAGTCAAACGGCACCGGGCTACAGTATCGAGGGACATATGTTGATTTGAGGGCCACGATGTCTTCAGTCGGCAAAGCCATCGTTAAAGTGGAGCTCTATGATAAAATGGGTCGTTAGTGTGCAGTCTACTAATGTTCTGCTCCTCTGTACTTTGTTGTTTTTGTACCCACAGAATGAATAAACTTCATTTGATCTGACAACTGTTGTCATCCTGAAAAACATTGTGGAGAGGAAGACTGATTTTGCTGTCATCTGTATTTTGTGTCTGCTGAAAGATATCAATATCTGACAGCCAGCTCATTGATTCCCCATTAGCTTATTTCTTGGGCTCATGTTCGTTGTACACTCCCTTTTCTTTGATTATGGTAATAAAACATTCAGACCCAATCCTTGTGTTACTTTATGTTTTCACTCAGTATGCTTTCATTATTACTGATGAACTGTAATCATTTTTTAATCTCCTATCTGGATCCATCCAATTCTAATGAGTAGCAACAGATGGAATATCTGCATAGATGTTTTTTTAATCGGCTTGATAACAATGTTGTTCTTCACTGGCTGTGAGATTTTCCATCTTGCTTGACTGTGTGGTATTTGGAATGCAAGAGGTTTAACAAAAGAAAGAACAAGATAGAAGAAGCTCTAGAGATGTCTGTCTTGACTTGTTCAGTTTGCTTTTTTTTCTGTTGCACAATACCACAGGAATGAGATTTCCAAACCCCCTCAGTTAGTCAATCACACATTTGCGTCCCCAAAATATAGCACGAAAAAAATGACTGACTTAGTGAATGATTCCCAGCCCTACCTAAGAGGTTGCGATCCAACAGACTGGGGTGGGGTTGCTTTGTCCCTGAGGGGAAACCACAGTAATATTTGTACTCCAAATCTGCTTTTTGTGTTGGCTATGGCATACGGATGAGTATGTTTGCAAAACGAGGGTGTGTCCTATCAAACTGGGGCTGTTTTGCAAGTGGGTGGGTTTCCCAGGTGATGACTTATATCCTTGTTTAAAAAAAAAAAAAAGAAAGAAAAAGAAGTCAACTGGCACCTCCCTTTCAGGTAACAAGCAAGTTCTCACATTTTGGAACTCAGAGCACTAACAGAGGTTCTGGGCAGGTAAGTCACTTTGAACATTTGGGGTAAAAGACATTTTGGAGACAGCAAGAGAATGCATTTTTAGTGTATCAGTCTTTAAACAGTCATTTGTAGAATGTAGAAGTCTAATGAGACATTTGTTTGATTTGAATCTTGTATCCGTTGATAAAAGGGCTGCTTATTTTCTTCAGCGTTTTCACTCTAACTTCATTACTGCATGGTACTTAGTGGTATAATTGAAGTGGTACACCCGCTTATGAGGCTGCAGCCTTTCTCTGATTGTTCACAACTGTTTTGAAATCTCATTAGCTTCTGAAATGCATCATTCGTACTCTGTACCAGTCGATGTGTGCCTTTGAAGGTCAGTGTAATGCCAGTAGAGCATGTCAGCAGAGGTCAGGTGTATATTCTGTACTGGCTTCCCAGTGCATGTAAGGAGGGGGGAGACATGCTAGTATCAGGTTTGAGCTGGTTTACATCTAAAATTATCTCTGTTTTACAGGCGGATCTCCCAAACGTTGCAACATGACAGAGACAGCAGAAGCTGTAGCAGCCGATGTAGACAGGAAGAGAAGTGTGACAATTGAAATCGGAAATATCACCAACAACTACTGTCTTCTCAACCCCAAGTAAGCCCTGACTGTAATGGAGTCATGAATTTTCGAGCTTATATGAAACATACTATTAGATGTAGAAGAAATGTGTAATGTGCATTGTATTTGTGTTCTGTTTAGGGTGTTCCTTGAGAATGGGGAGACATACAACCCACCTCAACCCACAGTGCGCCCTCAAAAGACAGAGGTTTGCACTTTCACCAAGTCCAAGGGCAAAGCAACCGGTAGCATTGGTGTGCTGACCTATGACCTCTTCGAGAGGTCACAGAATGACTACATCGAGACTCTGGCCATCATGTTCTCAGTTCCCTGGGACTACAACCTATACAAGAACTGGTTTGCAGTGGGCATCTATAAAAAGGGCCGTAACTGTGATAAGGATTTATACAAAGAAATGTACTATGAGAAGAAACAGCAGGAGCATGGGTTTGTCAGGGAGGAAGCCATTGGGTCAGGAATCAATTATGTGGGCAACTACCTAGATATCAGGGCTACCATGTGTCCCCTGGAAAACTCCATCATGAAGGTGGAGGTGTGGGATAAGCTTTTCACACCCATGGGTCAACAGGCGCACTAGAGTATTTCTGGCATGTGTCCCAACAACAGCATTCATCTCCTAATGCTTTTACCTGTCAGACGGTTTCTAATACAGTGAGCACGCATGATTTAACAGATGTATTGTTGCTGACATGTGTCTGTATACCTGGGTATTACCCTTCAGTAAATCTGCTTAAGATCAGAGCTTAGTTTGTTTATAAATTCAGGCAGCAATATCCCCTCTTTAAAGCCAAAGCCTCTCACTGTTTCAATAGCATACAGTTTTAAAATGGCATCTTTAGAAATGGAAATCAAAGGATGACTCACCGGTGGATGAGGGCACATAGCTTAATAAAATACACAGAGAATGTGTCTGTATTTACCTTGACACTGTAGTCTGAGGAATAAAATAAACCTTTTTTTGCCAACGCTATTTGTGTATGAGTGTCTGTTGAAAGAGTTTAGAAGAGTGCAAAAGTCCTTAAAAAGAAATGAGATTGAAAATTTTGAATACAAAATTACATCTTTTTTGTGCTGGCATACTATCCACAGCGTGCACAGTGTGCTTACAAGGGCTTTGCCAAGATGATGGTGAGTGCAACTGAGCTATGGACAGAAACAAAGGATGGTGTTTTTTACAATGGTTGTATGGGAGCCACATAGGGATACACCCATTCTCATGTTGCTTAGTTTCAGGGCATATGTGCCATTGCTAATACAGTAGTTACAAAAGTCTTGGTAGAACTTTTAAAGATCATGTTTTTGTAGGGTGTTTGATCTGTAATGCAAGACATGAATAAAATTGTTAGGATCTGTGCTTTAGTATTATTATGGTTGGGTTCTTTTTTCATTATTAATAACAGTGATCATGAAGAACCTATAGCTGAATTATAAAATTTAAAGCATTCAATATCTCTACAAAAACTTCAAAACGAGAAAAACACTAAATTCTTCTTTAAATACAACCGTGCATGATTAAAATCTGTAGAACACCATTTGCACAGATGTTTTTGACATTAAATACAAGGTTTTAACTGCCTGGGTTGCTTTACTGGCTGAACCAGAGGGAACATTTCTTCTGTTATGTTGTTATTGTTCAAAACACAATCACTGGTTCATTTTTATGAACCAGTAAACTCAAGGAGAAAAGATACACTTGCCTTTTTTTTTTCTTTTTTGCGATTATGATCTTGGCACGGTGAATGTGATTTAGGTGGAGACCCTATTATTATGACTGCTCAGTGACTCATTACACTAACTAAAAGCTTTATAAGTCTCTAATTGGGCAGACATTACTATCTTGACGTGCTATCTCATCATCAGAGAACTTATTTTGCAGTAATGGCACAGCCAATTCTGTGTGGATACAGTCATTAACCTGAGAAAAATATGGGCTTCCAAGGCAGAAGGCAGAATATCACCCCTTAATTTACATCTCATAGGAAGTTATCAGGTTCCAGCGGTTCTGTTTACAATCTCAATAGTCCCTTCCTGATTCTGTTTTCCCATTAGATTTGTGATGCTTTCACAGTATTAACTGTTCCAGCCACAAAGAAGCCCAGATCAAAGGTTTTGCTCACTGTCACTGTTGCATTTGCATAAAAGCCATACATAATATAGAGGCATCAACGAGGCCTGTTTCGGCTCAATCCCTGAAGCATTGTTGACTGACATATTGTAGAAATGACACATGGTCCCGAATAAACAGACAAGGACACTAAGCAGAAACTTTTGTTTGTCCCAGCTTAAAAATGAGGATAAGGTTCTTTCATATTTTTCCTTTCAATCTCTAATCTATGTTTACTGTACCTGCGTACGAGTCGACTTTCATGTTTTGTATTGCATTGTCGACTGCATGAGCTTGTGAGTGAGCGCTTGTGTGTTTGCGTCTGCATTACTACGTACAGTATGTGTGTTTGCATGCTTTTGTGGTGAGCATCTCTGAGTCTAGGCAGCATGCACCTGCACACGCAGATATGGATGTTTTATATCGAATAAATTCTTTTGTGCATTATGTGATTTGTATTTTGCTCCTGAAAAAAAAAATCTTTCAAGAACAGTGCAGGATTAGACTTCTTAAACAGGAAGAAAAAGATTTGAGGGAAAAAAATGTCTTTTCCTGTCTAGATAAACGTAAGAAGCTCTGCATTTGCGGACTGAGAAAGATGCTATTCACGTCTAAACAGGAGTGAATCTCGCTGTTTTTCTTGGTAAAACCGTCTGTCAAAAATCCTTCCAGGATGTTGAGCAGAGCGAGAGGTGAATCATAGTAGGTGAACCATTAAGTTTACACATTGGCATGTCTTTTCATGAGACAAACACCAGCCGATCATGCTAAAGCAACACTAAGGCTCCACTCCTGGAAAATGAGCAGAGACAAGAAACTTATTAAGAAACAAACTGCAAGGAGAACCTCAAAGACATTTAACTATAAAACTTGAAAGCACATCATCCCTCCAAGACACTGTGAAAGCTGTTACAGCCTCTTTAAATTTGCAAAAATGTCCGCTTTGTGTTGGTATTTTTTTATATTTTTAACACCAAACGAATATTTAGCCCTTATTTGATTTACTTTGTTGAACTGGTGCTGTTGTTTTTGTAGTTTTCTGTCGTGTTCTGTAGTTGCCGTTATATTTCTATAAATAGAAATGGGCCTGGAGAGGGAAGAAAACACAGGAGTATGCATCTTCTCTGTCTTTGTACTTGAAGTGAAGTCTTTTTCTTCCTGTTATCATCTTCACCTGTTTTCAGCTTTGCCACTTCACTGCATAATATATAAGTACATTTTCACACATTTTACCTTTTCACACTGTCAATATTGTGGCAACATTAAAGGTTTAGCTCCCTACATGAAGTCATTCTATTTGCTTTGAAACCTGTCCAAGGGCACATGAGAACTGTGTTGTATATTGAGTTAAACTGGGAGTGTCCAAACAAAAGGCATACAATGGTTGAATATCCATGACTTTAGCTCTGAGAGAAAACTGAAGCACTTTTAACAGCTTTAAATACTGCAAACCAATGGCAAAAAGCACAATCAGCACCATATTCTTCTCTTTTAAAATGAATAGATATACACTTACAACCAGCAATTTTTGAGTGTCATCCACTACAGAATATGCTCTCAAAGACTGCCATCTAGAGGCTTCCTCTGATATTAGGTGTACTCTCACAATTTAGAGACAACGTAGCGCTCTGGGAATGCCATGAAGAATAAAAGGCTATTTTAAAAATAATTAGCCTAAAATATTTTCTGAACTTTTTATAGCCACTGCATGCATTGGTAGTGCATTATAATGTATACCTTTAAAGTGTTCAGATACCTGGAATAGGTAAGAAAACTTGTCTTTGTGGCCTTAAAAAAGTTCATCACCCTGCGTCTTCTGCTGCAACCCCCAGCTGCAAAACATGTTCTGACATCCAGCAGGGCCTGGCACTCTTTGGTAGTTCACTGTGTGTCTGACCTGATGTGTGTCAGGCTGGTAGAAGGCGCCTGCAGCCCCATCATTGGGTCTCAATTGCAGGCTTCAGTCTCAGTCAGGCTCACCTCTAAAGAATCTGCAAGGGTAAAAGAAAGTAGTCAAATATTTTCGAGCCAAAGCTGGAGCCTCGCTGACCTGCGTGTTTGTTTTGCTTTTCAAAATTTATGTGGGTTATATTCTGCAGACTCTTCAGAATTCCTTCAGTTGATATGCGAGGGTTGAAAGTCATGTTATTCCTGGCAGGCTTGGAGAATTGTCTCACCATGTTAGTTTGTTATTTTGGAAATTCTCAGCATGCAGAGTGACACAGATTTGTATCTTGTAACAATACAGATAACCTGAGGAAGGACATTTAAAAGTTCTCTTTTCTTGGTATTTTTACATCATAGCAATAAGCTTTCTTGATGCTTATATGCCTTCAAAATTCATGTAATAAATGTTGCATGTTGAATATAAAATGTTTTCTATTGTCATCCCGTCATGTGTTAGATTAAAGTTCTCTTTAACATTAACAGACTATTTAGTGGCATCTCCGTTTGTCAATGTCCTTCAACTAGACATGACTCTAACAAAGAAAGCCAGCTCTTAGAATGTACAGTAAGTGAATTGCTGTTTCCAAGATTACAATGCAGTAATGCAAACACCTACATAATATTGCTCTTTAAGCAATTATAATGAATGCTTTTAATGTTAACAAGGGATCAACCTGTGTGGGAAAAGTGACACTCAGTGTTGAGCACACAGGAAACAATCATCCACTCAGCTCTGTGAAGCTTTCTTTCACTTCATTGTTTGGTTTTCCAGCCTGAAACTTTGCTTTTGGTTCATTGTCATTGTTTTGTCCACAATATGCATCCATAGCTCCAAATTCCCACAGTTTATTATGAGCCGAAAACCAAACAGCATCATAAGTTAGCAAGCTTAAACAGAGAAGAGAGCTCATCCTGGACTTACATCGACAAGGTGGCCAGAAATACAACTTAAAATGAATGTTGCTCTTTATCTTCGGCCTGCAAAGAAGTGCCTGTAACCTCCCGGTAACCTAAACACATTGTCGGTTCTCGGCTTAAAAAGGTGATATTATGTCAACTTTATGTTTATTGCTCACTTCCAGGATGTCAAAAAATTCTGCTCTGTTGTTTACTACAGTGCTGTGTGTCTTTGAATCCTCAGTGGAGATGTGAATCTATTCAGCCAGCGACATGAGGGCTGCATACTATTTGTGATTTTTTTTTTGTTATGCCTAACACAAAAAAAAAAAACAATCCTGCTTTATTTAGCATTTCGGACCTATTGCTGATCTGGTGGAACATGCAGAACATCGACTCCCTAAACTGTTCCCAATTTAGTTTCTCACCAGCATTGGCAATATGTACAGAGTATATCTATATATACATGTGTACAGTACATGTTTACTATACATTGTGTTCTCTGCTGTTAATGCCCAGAACTGTATCAAGTTCAATCTGGCTGTTACAACTTAGTTGGCAATGTAAGTCCATTCATTGTTTAAATTTCTTGATTCTGATTACTACAACTCCTTGTGGTTGTTTCTCAGGTGGATGTACTCTTGTTGTTCTGCTGCAACGCCATTTCTCTCAGGATAATCTTCAAGCCAATAACGTTGACCTTCAGGCCAATGGAGGCCCTGCTCCTTCTCCATCATCATTGACCAACTGAAGAATATTTCTGTCGCTTGTCACTCAAAATTTCAGCTGGCAGTAAAACAGCGTTATTCATGCTCTGTAATTCTTTGAGTTTATTCTGAGTGATCGAGCAGCAGTTTTGATGTCAAATCTACTTGAATGTACAGTCATCTGCAGCCAGCTTGATGTGAGCCAGCTGAAGGGTCAGCTCTGACACAGCAGCGCCAGCTGCCTGCCTCTCACACAACAAAGTAATTACTCGTGTCACACTGAATGACTCGCTTCAGTGGGTGCAATCTTTTAAT